GACCACTTTGCAGGGCCATTTGTGGATCGGGGAAGAATCTATGAAACATTAATGATTCTGTGTTCAAAAATAGCATCTGAACTGAACTGTGGTCCTTTTGCACCTTTACAGTAATTACCGTGATCCACCGTATTTTGGTAAAGCTGACACGCGACATATATGGAGAACGAAGATATCACCTCATTAGATTCGCATAAGTATCGTCGAGTCATTTTTGAGTTAGTGTTTAACTGCACACTACGCGCAAACTGACGACATTCAACGAGTACGTCCTCAGTAAAAGCTATTCTAGCAAAACAAACTGTGAAATGTGACCTCTATCTAGTACATACCTAAAAAGACAAACAAATATAGAGAAATCCCAAAAAGTTACAAAATTTCGATTCGAGTCGTCAAGTTGCGCGCATGATGTACAATACACACTAAGTTATGTATAACTCGGCGATAAAGAATCAGCAAAAGCCTTGCACCAAAAACCGCTGAGATTACGGTAGCATACTGTACTCCGATACATAGAAGAAACAAAAATCCAAACTCACTGTCTCTTGTCCGTTCCTATGATCAGTAACCGCTCAATAATATCATCGACTTCAGTTTCATTATTCAGGGACGCGACGAACTTTTCGAAGAGCTTCTTGCCCTCAACAACTTTTCGGTATGGTTTTTCCGGAGGACTATTACCAAACACATAAGCTCCTGAAAATAGAACTTTTTCATTAAGTGTTTCCACCAAATTCAAAGAAAGAAAAATTTAGCCTAAATTCTGCAAAAATTGGACAAAATAAGTGCAAACTCGCAAAGAAGGCTTTAATATGGAATTTGTGCACTTTATATTCAAAAGCCGACCAAAATCAAAAAATTACGTACCTGGAGGCCATGATCGCGGTTTAACCTCATCAACATACATACTGGTAAGTGAAGTCATATTATAACAGCCTTCGTAATCCCTACAAATATCAATCAAAAATGAAACATTTTGATGGTTTTGAGCTTTCATCGAACTCACCTATCTAGGCCTACAAACTGGAAACCGTTATATAGATGAGCTTTATCCGAGAGGTCACCAAAATATTGCTTTGTTGTACCCGGTGAATTAAGATAATCCTTGGCAATGATACCTAAAACATCACGAAATCAAGTGTGACCAAAAAACTCAAAAATTCAAAAAACGAAATGAAAATTCGTAGATACTAAAAACACAGATTTTATAAATAAATTCAATAAGATTACAAACTACAGGATTTTCCACTATGATTCTGTTCCAATTGTCTTATTTGTCAAGATAATCGACAAAGACTCACGAATAAGTAGAAAAAAGAATCTCACCTCTACTAGGACAACCAGATTTCATCGTAGGAACTGGCTGCGCTATCGATAACAAGATTCCAACTCTGCCTTTTTTATTTGCAGCAAACCATG